AGCAGCTACTTTGTCTGTATCACCTGGATTATTTTGATTTGGCTATAATTGACTCTTCCCTTTTTTTCTTGAGTCACAATTTCCTGTTTCTTCTCATAGCTCATGATCTTTATTGGGTCCTGAACCCCATGAATGCTATGTTGTAGAATTTCTGGATTCTGCTGTGTCCCCTTGCTAGTGTTTAACTTCGCTGGACTTGAACCCTGCCTCTCATGCAAATATATCTTTTTCAGCAGCTGAAATTTCCTCTTAGTTTGTCCATCTTTGAGCTGCTGGTTTTTCTCCAAAACCCCTGGTGTCTTTCCGACACAAGTGTGGTTTAGTCAATTCATCAAAGATTTGGGTAGGCTCTAGGCAGATCTGGGGACTCGGCCCTTTTGTGGCTCTCTGTCTTCCAGGATTTTCCCCTAACATTCTGAACTCTCTCCTCTGACACTTCCAGACAACCAGACAGCTGCTTTCTGCCACCAAACATTCATGGACTGGGGCGTGCCCCCGGCAAAACTCCAGAATCATGAGTCTGACTGTGGCAGAGGTCTTTCAAGGATGGGCTCCCCAGCAGTGTCTGCTTGCTTTGGTCACCCCCCTCCCAGTGCCTTTATAGAGAGTGTGTGTGTGTGTGTGTGTGTGTTGTGTGCATTGTATGTTTTAATATTCTGCCCAGATTTTGTAATTGTTTTCTGCAGGAGGCTCAGTCTAACTAAATCTGCTGCACCATTGCTGAAAGCCAGCACTGTCGCATGCCTTTTTGAAAATATTTTTTAAAAAACTTTAACTTTGACACGTTGAGAGCCCTTGAATAATGGACCTGAATTTTTTAAAAAGTTCAGGAAAGTGGATCAGCTTATATGCAATATACGACCTTGGCTATCTTAGACTGGGAAGGGAGGGTCTCATGCCATCTGCAAACAGGCATATTGTGTGTCACTATATTGGAGCAGCCAGGCTGACCCACATGGTGTCTGTCAGTCTGTCTGTCTGTCTAACACTAACATGAAGGGATGTGTTCACAGGGAGTAGAACGGTCAGTCCCCAAAGGTCATTACATTTCCCAGAATAGGCTACTCATCCTCAAAGCAACCAGGCAGATTGTGGGGGCGCCTGGGTGGCTCAGTCAGTTAAGCGTCCAACTTCAGCTCAGGTCATGATCTCATGGTTTGTGGGTTCAAGCCCCATGTCGGGCTCTGTGCTGACAGCTCAGAGCCTGCAGCCTGCTTCAGATTCTGTGTCTCCCTCTCTCTCTACCCCTCCCCCACTCATGCTCTGTCTCCATCTCTCTCTCAAAATATGAATGAACATTTAAAAAATTATAATATAAAACAACCAGGTAGATTGCAAATGTTCTGAAACTTTATGTAGGTGCTCCCTATATATAATTTTGTGCAGTTCAGTATGGGCTATAATAGTAAGGAGGCACTAAGGTCTTCATTCCCTGAGTTGTGCGTGGCACCGCCGACCTGCACAGAAGCCGTTCCTCAGAGGCTTTTGTCCCAGCTGTGCTCCTTGTCATCGTGCGGACCCTTGCATGAGTCTCCCGGGGCTGCCGTGCTAAGTACCGCAGACTGGGGGGCTTGAAACACCGGAGATTTATTGTTTCTGAGTCCTGGAGACCAGAAGGTGCCGGGGGGCTGTGCTCCCTCAGAGAGGACCCTTCCTGCCTCCTCTGGTCTCTGGTGGCCCCGGCCATCCTTGGCTTCCTAGGCTTGTGGCCGCATCCCTCCATCTCCACCTCCATCACCACGTGGCCTTCCTCCCTGTGTGACATATTCTGTCCATTATAAGAGCCTGTCCTTGGATTTCGGACCCACCCTCATCCAGCATGACCTCATCTTTTTTTTTTTTTTTAATATTTTTATTTATTTCTAGGAGAGAGAGAGAGAGAGACAGCGTGAGCAGGGGAGATACAGACTCTGAAATAGGCTCCAGGCTCTGAGCTGGCAGTAAGCACAGAGCCCAACGCGGGGCTCGAATCCACAAACTGCGAGATCATGACCTAAGCGAAAGTCGGACGCTTAACCGACTAAGCCACCCAGGCGCCCCCAGCATGACCTCATCTTGATCCTTACCTTGATTATGTCGCAGACACTGTTTCCATATAAGGTCACATTCAGAGGTCCTGAGTGGAGTCACTATCCAACCCACTACAATCTGTCCCTTATGCCCAAACTCCCCTCTCTCTCTTTTTTTAATGTTTATTTATTTTTGAGAGACAGAGCATGAGCTGGGAGGCACAGAGAGAGAGTGAGACACAGAATCTGAAGTAGCTCCAGGCTCTGAGCTGTCAGCACAGAGCCAGATGTGGGGCCCAAACTCATGACTGCGAGATCATGACCTGAGCTGGAGTCAGACACTCCACCGACTGAGCCACCCAGGCTCCTGTCCTTGTCTTAAGTTTTAAGGGCTGTACCTGGCTTCTGAGATTCCAGGCCTTGGTGATTTTATTTGTGACTTTATAAACTTCTGGAGCTCCATTGTCATTTCAGACCAGATAATATTGCCATCCGTCTTTAAATGCTGGCAGCTTCATCCTCCTAACAAGTTGGGTCATTTCCTATGGCCCCTCTAGTTCTGTCATGTTGATGAGCTGTGGCCACAGGACCTTTGCACTGGTTCCAGGGCCCAGGGCCTCAAGGCTCTGAATCCAGACAGTGTAATTTTTCTACCCACCTTCCAAAAGCACATCACTTCCTCAAACCTAAATGATACGAGCCAAGGACCAGCAACTATAGTTTACAGGCCATTCTGTAACGGCCTTTTATTCGTAAATGAAGTCTTCCTAGTACACAGCCAGGATCACTCGTGTGTGTGTTAGCAATGGCCGCTCCTGTGTCAAGACTGCAAAGAAGTTCCTAGAAGCTGGAACAGGAAAAACTGTGCCCAAAAGTCTCTGGTCCTTTGCAGAAAAAGTTTGGTGACCCTTGGCGTAAACACCATACGCTAAGCAGTATGACAAACAGCACATGGTAAATAGCGCGTTAAACCAGCAAACACATTGGTATGACAGCTTGGCGTGGTACTGAGTGACTTGCATTCTGGAGGCTGTGTTCTGGCCACAGGGAGCCTAGCATGGGCTCGCGGCTGACCTCACCTTCTCACGGACTCCCTGGGTTTTCATACGACTTAGACCTCCTGCCCGTGAACAGGGAGCTGGCCTGTGACTCCGCTTTCTCACTTTGTCGCTAGTGGGTTCTTCCCACCGAGAGCCCAGGTCCAATGACTTCCTGCTCCGACCACTGAAGCTACCCACTTCCTGGCTTCAGAGTGGAACGAAGGGGTGTGTGGCGTGCAGATGACTGATTCAGACTTTGGAGAAAACTGTAAATAAGACCTCAAGTATGCAACTTTCCACAGAATAATTCCGAAGGTCAGTTCTGTCAGGAAGGCAGAGAGTTGGAGACCCAGGAAGTACACGTTGGAAATTCTCACATCTCCTCCTCTGGAAGAGGAAAAGAAAGTAGGGGGTGCCACTCACCACGTGGCTCTGGGGACATCTAGTGGTAAGGACTGAGTCAGGGAAACAAGAAAACACCACAGGCATAGGCCACAGATAACGCTGATCCATCCAGTGACTCTCGTGGTTCCAACGACTTTGGGAGGGGGATGGGCCATGTCATACAATATTCCTCATCAACAAAGGTGGGGTCAGACCAACATTCAACAGCTTTAAAACACAGGCTGCTTACCCTCTTTCTTTAGGCAAATTCTACTAATCTGTTAACAGTTTTTCTATGTATTAAAAAAAAAAGACTTTTTCAACAAATTCTTCACTCGTTCTCAGAGTTGGGAGCCCTCGTGGTGATAGAAGTGTATGGAAAGTTCTGGCAGGTGCGTCCTGGGCACCATGCTGTGCACCCTGCTGCTCCAGCCCCCTCATGAGGCAGAAGTGGGGAGATACCCCCCACCGGGAGCTGTGGGGACGTGCTCAGGACAGGGGTGAGCCGGCCCACAAAGCACCTCCTCTCCGCAGTTTGCATACTTACCAGCTTCTCAGGTGCCGAAGGCAGCTGGTTCTTAAAAAGTGAAGACCATCTGACCTTGAGCATGTTCGTGGAATGATTTCTTTTGTGTGTCATCTGCCACTTTGTTCTGGTTTTAATTGAGTCGTTTTGTATGGAATTTTTTTGAATTTTGTAATGTTTTATTTAATTTTGAGAGAGAGAGAGACCGAGTACAAGTGGGGGAGAGGCAGAGAGAGGAGACAGAATCCAAAGCAGGCTCCAGGCTCTGAGCCATCAGCACAGAGCCCGATGTGGGGCTCCAACTCACGAACCTCGAGATCATGACCTGAGCCAAAGTCGGGCACTTAACCCACTGAGCCACCCAGGCGCCCCTTTGTGTGGAATTTTTAAACTACCTACTTGAAAGATGTATGCATCTGGGCTGCAAAGAAATACACTTTTATGCTCTTCTCGTGGGCGAGGATCTCCAGGAACAGAAGGCAGGACTTCTAGCGAGCCCAAGAGAAAACACTTCTTTCCTCCCACTGGGTATCGTCTTTTTCCTCCCTTGGACAATGTCTGAAGATATTTTGGGCAGGGCGGGGTGGGGAGAGGGCGCTCCTGGCATGTAATGAGTGGAGGTCAGGGATGCCTAGGTCGTGTGAAGGACGATCCGGCCCCAGTGTCCCCAGGTGCCGAGGGGGAGAAAACTTAGCCTAAGAGAACGCACTTGCAGTTTGGGGTACAGTAGCCGCCCCATCTGGCAAGCATCCATCAAGAGCTTGTGATTTGCTGGATGGATGAGTAAACACTTGTATGAGCCCTGGAGAAGACGGTCTGCAGGGCTAACTTTTGGTTTTCTGTTGGGAAAAAATGCTTCCTGCCATCCCCTCCCCACCCCCGCCGCCCTTTCTGTGAGCATTTGTGCCTCTGGTTTCCCTTTCTTCCTTCCCCAGTGTGGCCAGCCAACTTGCACGTGAATTCTGAAGACTGTGGGTAGTTACACTCAGGCCTCCGTGGTTGCAGCCCTGCCCCACTCAACCTCTCTCCGCCTTTCTTTAGAACTGAGCATGCAGAATTCAAAGGGTGGATCCGACTCGCCGGCTTCTGTGGCTCTGTGTCCATCGGCGGGAGCCCAGGCCCCTGTGGCCCAGCCTGTGCCAGCCTCCCCGCAGGTAACAGACCAGCCCGCCCACCGCTCGGGGCTTGGGCTGTTCCGGGAAAGCCAGTGTGGCCGGGGGGACGCATCTGCTTAGGTTTTGGCAAACACTTGAGGCAGCAGAGAGAGGCATCTGTATTTTCCTGAACTGACATTATCCAAGGCTGCTCCTGTTAAAATAGCCACGCCTTCGTTCTGTCCCCTCTGCCCCTCCACATCACGCTGGCTTTTTTGCTAGTTGTTGAAAAGGCCCCACCAAGGACTCAACGATACAAACTCAAAAAGAAACCCAGCTTGGTCTATTCCTAGCTTTTAATGGACGTTTCCTTGTACCTTGGAAATGCCCCTTTTAAACGGGGAGGCCTTATGGATAAGGCAAAAGATCGGTTAAAATTCTCACATTCGAATGGATGTATTCTTTAAAATGTGCGAGGAGAAAACTTCCACGTTAAGGCTCTTGCCTTCTGGATTTCTACCATGGATGGAAACACATCGTAGACCTAAACATAAAGTCAGTGATGTAAGGCCACGCCAAGCTGAAGGCCACGGAAGAGACCGGAAACCCGGAGGCAAGCCCGGAGGCCCGCTGTGGCCATGTGACACCTACCTACGAGTACGAATCCACAAGTCAGAAGTGTGACAGAATTGACGAAGGTAGAAAGGCCCCATCATGGGGCAAAAACTAAAGGGCAGACATTAAAGCAGTTCATTCACTCAGAAAGGACAATCAGACATTTTTAGTTTTCATTTCTTGCAAACAGGCAACCCCAGTGTGAGCCTTGGCAGCCCGCCTCGGGGCACCAAGGGGGTGTCATCAGATTCACTTGTCGCCTAATTGGTCCGTTTCCCTGCCCGCTTGAGCCTGACACAGCAGCCCTGCGCCGCAGACTCCGGCCCGGGCGCCCGCCTTTGTCTGTAGCAGCCACGGGCCCCGCCTCCAGGGTCCCGCCCTGGCCACCACGTCCCTCCCAAGTTCCAGGGCCTCGTCCTTGCCAGCGACGCATCCAGTCCCCGCAGCTACCTACGCGCCCTCCCCCGCCCCACCCCCCCCACCCCCCGCCGCAAGGTGCACTGTCTGCTCCCCACGCAGACTCCCTGCCTCTGAGTTGGGGGGCTCCCTCTCTGGAAAGTTTCAAGCGCTCACGCTCGCGGGCCGCCCTGCCTCCCGTCAACAGTGGGTGCCTCTCTCCTTGCCAGAGAGAGGAACTCCTGCTGCCTGAGCCTCCGCCACGTGCCCCTCACCCTCCGCCTTCCGGCCCGCCCCGTCCAGCACAACTTCCCACCGCGGCGGCACGTGCGGCCGCCAGCCCTGCGGTGCCACGGACGGGAAGGTGGTGTGGACGGCTGTCTGCAGGGTTCTTCCTGTCACCCAGCCTCTCAGACTGCTGTCAAGCACAGCCCACGCCGCCTGCAGACAGACCCCAGGGAGAGGGAGCTGCTGGGCGCAGGTGGAGGCGCGCGCGCGCCCGCGGGTGAATGAGTGTGCGTGTGTGCGCATGCGCGCCCCTCTCCTGTCACTCTCACGTTTCCGCAAGGTGATGGTGGAAGAGGTGGCGGTAGCTCTGGTTATAACCTGTATTTGCCTTAAGGACTAACCTCTGACAAGTCTAAATGTCCTTTTCTCCTTCCCTTTTAGAGAGTGTTGGTCCAGACAGCGGGCTCGGCTCCCAAAGGGGCCCAGATGCAGCCAATCTCCCTCCCCAGGGTCCAGCAGGTGCCACAGCAGGTAACCTCAGCACAGGGAACACGGGACACGGTAGCACATAGTGGTCTGGGGCGCTCTCTGGACGGTGCACCCTTTTCTGCTGCTGCTCTTTCTTTGTCTGATAACTTCAGCTCTGTACCAGAAGGTTCTTTTGGAAGCTATGTTAAAAAAAAAAAAAAATGTTTTCCTGCAGATAGCTTGCAACAAGCCAAGAAAGCTGATGATCTATCATTCATTCAGAAACGCAGCATTTGGGGTGCACTCCAGCACCCCAACAGAGCGCTGGGGTGCTGAGGTAGACGCGCAGACAGAGAGCCAAGTTTCGGGCTTGGAGGAACATGCAACCTCCTAGGGAGGCAATTTTCGTGTCCTCAGTCAAGTGCACGACGCCGGAACCACTTCTTGTGAAATGAGGTTACCTGGCAAATTAGCCTCAAGGCCCGGGCCCACCAGCCATGCACGGCCAGCGTGACCCGCGGTGGCGGAGGGCAGAGCTCTTCTGGAAAAGGCCAGATAGCACATTTTTTGGCCTACTGTCCCACGAAAGCAGCTGTCCGTGAGCCCTAGGGGTGTGGCTGTGTCGCAGTGAAACTTGATTTATGGATCTGGCTGGAGTTGGCTGACCTGTGCCCTGTAATATCCGGAATTAAAATTAGTGCACGTTCCTGCCTGAAAGGAACCATGAGCGTGATTTTGTGACCGCTGACACCAGAGAGCACACCTCTCTCCCCACTGGGCTCCGACTTGAATCTAAGCTGCTGTGTTTAGAGGCATTTGTCCAGCTGCTGCGTCGGTGACGACGGGGCAGGTTTTTGGGGTCATGGGAGAGAAGCGGGGGCTTCCAGCGGGCCCGGCAGGGAACCAGTGGCTGGGTCTCAGCTCCTTGAGGGACTGGAGACCAGGACCAGTGTCATGATTCCAGAAGCTTCCTGTCTGTGGGGCTGGGCCTGCTCCAGTCTTTCTCCCTGAGCAACTTGGACTTGCAGAGTGACTTCTGTGTTTCACCCAGTCCCCTGAGGCCTGGCCCGCCCAGCCTGTTAATCCCTGGAACCTTCTCGTGCTCTTTAACTCCAGCACCACACTGGCTTGTCCTGGGAGGTGGGAACCAGTCCCGTTCTGCCGCCCCAGACGAAGGCTCAGAGGTCACGGTAACACCCAGCCCCTGATTTTCTCACCCCAAAAGTAGGCTGGATTAGGCACCTGCTAAGGTTCCCTCTGTGGAGAGGTTTCCAGGGTCTGTGCACACAGCGCTCTGGGTCTCCGCCACCAGGGCCAGCGTCCCTGCCCGCGGAGGTGAGACCTGCCGTTGTCACAGATGAGGCTGCCCAGGGCCCCCTCTCCGTCCCCCATGCCAGGCATGTCTCTCCTGCCAAGGAGAGGTGGGGTGAGGGGTGTCTGAGGCCCCAAATTGGAAGCGTAGGAGTAAATGTTCACAAAGGGCCACAGGAGACACAGCCAGGCTGAACGGCAAGGGGACTGCTGTGTGTGACACGAGGTATCGCTGTTCATGTTCCAGGTCCAGCCCGTGCAGCACGTGTACCCCCCGCAGGTGCAGTACGTGGAAGGCGGAGACACGGTCTACACCAATGGAGCCTTGTACGTGGGTTTCCTCTCCCCTGGGAAGGGCCTGCCTGGAGGAGAAGCGTGGGCTGTGTCTGGAACCTTCTCTCATGACCACCCCACCTTTTTCCATTTGGGGCCTGCATGCGCCAGCTTCTCCTCCTCCTCCTTTGGGTGATGTCGGAACGGTTAGGACAGTCCGAGGGCATCAGAGCCCAGTGGAGATTTCAGAAATCACAGGCCTTCGTAGTTTTTACTGCCACAAAAGGCAGGCTTTCAACAAAACTGAAATGAAACAAAACCCTAATCCAGCTTTTAAGTCTAGAGATCCAGTCTTCACGATCCAGAAACCGTTTTTATCTCCGCCTTCTCATCCTTGCCTGCGTTCACCTCTGGCTCTGTATGGTGGTGATAAAACGTGATTTTCCATTTGTCAAGGACTTCTAGAATGTTCTGCCTTCCAACTAAGTGGCGCTTAGGGCAGAAAATGACACATTTCTCATGAAATGTGCTTAAAACACAAATTTGCCCATTTACTTTCCATCACCCCGTTTCAGAAGTCTAGGTGTCGGGCCTGAGGGCTGGCGGTTGTGATGGCTGGAGCTGTGTAAGTTTCTGTAGGTCCCCCAGTGTTCCTGGGCTTGACCCTGTGCTGCAGTTAGATAAGTTGTTGCCCAGGGTTGGGGCGGGGCCGGTCGGGGAGAGACTGGAGGGCACATTTCTGGGAGGCAGGCAGCGGGGCCTTGCTGCCCCACGTGGCGGGGGTCGGCAGCTCACGACACATCACTAAGCTTAGTCTCTAACTGGGGTCAGCTCTACACGGGCAATCAGACCTTAAAAATGTGGGCCTCCAGCCTCATGTTAATCATTTAATCCAGATGGTAAAGGAACATCAGGCAAAGCCTTGGTATCGCTTAGAAATTCTTTTAAGTGTGCAATTTCATTTTGCAAACCTTTTTGTTTTGAAAGAATCATAGGCTCTAAAGAAGTTGCAGAATTAGGACCTGGCCTCCCCCCACCCGGGGGTGGGGGTGGGGGGACATCTTCCGGGACTGTAGCACGATGCCAAGAGATTAACTTCGGGAAATACCGTCAGCTAGCTCGCGGCCGCGGTTGCATTTACCGGCCTCCACGCATGCGCACGGGTGTAGGCCATTTTATGCCACGTGTAGATTTCAAGTAACCACAGTAAAATACAGAATTGGTCCCTCTCCGCAAAGGAGCCCCTCCCGCAACCTCTTTATACACTTAGGATTTTTCAGCCATCGTTTTCGAGGAGTCATCCCGTGAACCTTAATATTTTCAGAACTGATCGCTTTGAACTTCGCTCTGTCCTGATCCTTCCCGTCCGAATTACCCCGCGTGCTCGGTGTCCTGGGGCTCCGCCTTAACGTGAAGTCCTCCCGGGCTCCCGCGAGGCTCAGGAGGCACCTCCTCTCTCCCTGACAGACGGACGGCCTACGCCTACAACCCCGAGCCTCAGATGTACGCCGCGAGCAGCACGGCCTCCTACTTCGAGGCCCCGGGCGGCGCCCAGGTGACCGTGGCCGGCTCCTCCCCGCCAGCGGTCCCCTCCCACAGCATGGTGGGCCTCCCCATGGATGTCGGGGGGAGCCCCATGGTCTCCAGCGCGGGAGCCTATCTCATCCACGGGGGGATGGACAGCACCAGACACTCCCTGGCCCACACTTCCCGGTCATCGCCGGCTACGGTATGTACGAGGCTCTCGGGGGCAGCAGGGCACACCCCGAATAGAGTCTCCTCAGCAGCGGGGATGGTGCGTGGAAGGCAGCCTGGGGCGCGGGAGCCCTGCTGCCCTAAGGGCGTGCGATCCGAGGCAAGTCTCCACCCCTTGGAACGGGGTGCCCCGTGGTGAACAGAGAGGGCAAAAGGCCCCTCCTAGGCGGCTGTGGAACTTGCATCCGGGTCCAGCAGCGCCGTGCAGGTGTGACCGCCACCCCTGTGACCGCCGGACTGACCGGCAGAGCAGCTCCCTTGGGAACTGCACCCCCTTGTTGCTGCCACAGTCCTGCCCCAGACTCTCCCAACCTGCTTTACAAACGTGTCTGCTCTCAAAGTCTATTTCCCATGCTTGCTTTTATTTTACTTCATTTGGAAAATTAACACAAAGTAAAACTGACCTTTTTGGGCACTCAGAGTGGTGCCTTCGAGACCCATTCACATTATCACATGAATCCGAACTTGCCACTTCTTTGCTACTGGGAAGGATTCCATTATACCACAGCTCACCTGTCCATTCACCATTTGGGGGTCATTTGGGCAGTTTCCAGTTTGGGGTGATTATGAATAACGCCTCTGTAAGTACTTATGTACAGGTTCTTGTCTGGACATACGTTTCCTTTCTCTGGGTAAATACTTACAAGCAAGATTGCTGGTTCACACGGTAAGTGTATGTTTAATGTGATCGGAAACCACAACAGTTTTCCCAAGTGGTTGTACCATTTTGCGTCCCCCTCCCCGCCGTGACGTATGAGTCCCCGTGCTCCACCTCGTCACCAGCACTTGGTATTGTCGACCATTTTTCATTTTCGACGTTCTCATAAGGTGTGTAGTGGTATCTCACTGTGGTTGTGATTTGCATTTTCTCAATCGCTAATGATGGTAAGCAGCTTTTTGTGTGATTGTTTGCCTTTCGTTATATGCTCTTTGGTGACCTAGCAGTTCATGTCATTTGCCTATTTTTTAGCTGGGTTGTTTGTTTTCTTACTGTTGAGTGTTGAGAGTTTTTTATATGTCCTGGATACAAGTCCCCTGTCAGAGATGTGATTTGCAAATATGTTCTCCCAGTCTTTAGAGTGTCTTTTCATTCCAGATTGGGTTGAGTATTTCCTCCCACTTCACTATTATGTTGGCTGTTTACATAAATTTAGAATTTTCTAAATAAATTTTAGGTCAGTCTGTCTATATCTACAAAAAATTCAGAGTGAGATTTTTATTGTAGATCAAGTTGGGGAGACTTGACGGCTTTACTGTGTTGGGTCTTCCCATCTATGAACATAGTATGTTTTTTCCATTTATTTAGATCTTCTTTGATTTCTTACATCAGCATTTTGTAATTTTTAGCATACAAATTCTGTACATATTTTGTTAGATTTATGCCTAAATAGTGTATGTTTTTGAAGTTATTATAAATGGTATTGATTTTTAATTTCAGTTTCCAACTGTTGGCCTTGCATCCTGCAGCCTCCCTGAACTCACTTGTAAGAGCTGCAAGCGTTTTTTTGTTGTCTGCAAATGGGAACAGTTTTGTTTCTCCCTTTCCCATCTGATGACTTGTACTCCTTTTCCTTGTCTTTTTGCACTAGCTAAGACTTCCAGTACAATGTTGAACACGAGTGGCAAGAGTGGACATCCTTGCTTTGTCCCCAGTCTTAGGGGGGAAATCTTCAGTCTTTGACTGCGAAGTGTGATGTTGGCTCTGGGTTTTCACAGATGCCCTTTTTCAGGTTGGGGAAATTCCCCTCCATCCCTAGTTTTCTGCAAGTCTTTATCATAAATGAATATTACTTTTGTCCAGTGCTTTTTCTTCATTGATAGGACCGTGAGTTTCTTCTTCTGTAGACTCTTCCTGTGACAGATTACGTTGGCTGATTGTCAATTAGAAAATAACTTCCTCTTTTGGTGTGGGGCTAACCTCCCAAAATAGAAAGTGACGTTCTTGCCTCATCCCTGTCCTTTTGGCCCTGATATCCTTTGGGGTCACGGACATCAGAGAGCACCCCCTCCTGAGTCCGTGTCCAGAGTGCTCCCCGGAACCCGGCTCTGTGGACAGGGAGAGAAGTCACTTGTTCCCTACAGGCCCATAGTGCTTGAGTGCTCCTGGTTCACCAGCTTACACCTCGCCTCACTCAGCCCCGTCAGCCCAGCAGGGCCTGGGCGGCCACTTGCAACCACACATGTTCTCCCTTGGAGGACTGGCTGCAGGGACGTGAGTTTGGAGCTGATATTGACAAGAACGCATTCCTCACGGACCACATTAACTGTCACAAACATGACAGGCTGGACGTCAGCAAATTGCATCAGTACATACTAGCAGCACATGCTAGGGTCGCCGGTCACAGACTTACTGAGCAACCATGGCGTCCTGTATGGGCCGCACTGTCCTGTTGCACATCTGTGTGCTGCGCAGACCCCAGGCCACCCGGCCACTGTGGTTCATCATCCGGTGGCTTCAGAAGAATCATGTCTTTAATCCAGTTGGGAATCCATGAATGGGCTGTTTTGACACCCCTCCCCATGCAAGCCCCAGGGAGTGATCATCCCAGAAGACGATTTGGTTCCTGACCCTGCCCGCCTGGTCGTTTATCAACCTGTTTTGGCAAGGGAACATCTCACACATCTGCAGCAGGGTGTGCCGGGCTTTCCAGGAGCCACAGAATTAAATTGAGGCTCTGCGTCCGGCCCTTGGCACCTGCCAGCTTTGTCCATTGGAGTTTGGGGACTTTGAGTTAATTCCAAAAACAGAGCATGGAGCCCTGCATGCCTTGAGAAGAGATTTCAGATTTTCTGTGGTGGATTTTCTTGAGTCTCGATTATTTCATCAGATCCTATAAAACTGACAAGTGAGTTGCCCAAATGGTGAGTTTTTGATGAAACCTTTTAGTACTGCACTTTCATTAACCACACGGGACAGAGGTTCTGCCCTGAGAGCCTTGCCCTGGCCATTTCAGCCCAGGGTTTGCCCTTTGGGTCATGTCAAGGGGAGGCTGGGGGCTCTCGGGCTGCACACAGTAGAGACCCTACCCCCACACCCCCGAACAGCTGCCCTCGGAGGCCCCTCCACCCGCAGGGCTCTCAGGCTGCGGGCAGCCAGGCTGTGCAAACGGGTGGCCCCCATGGGCCACACTATGGGGACTGAAGAAGACAAATGGTCCAGCCAATCTTTACAATAATAAAAATACAGCACTTCTGTCATGGGGGACCCTGCCATTGCAGTATTTCATGGGGGCCTAGGTCTGGCCTAATGAAGGACAAGCCAACCCAGTGGTCAGGTCCCACTTGACCCCATCTGAGTGGCGTCTTTGTGAACTCTTAGCTTCCAGGAGATCAGAGTCATAGCTCAGAGATAGTGGCAGCTCTGAGTACTCAGATCATCAGAGGTCGGATGGTGTGTGCCCTGGCGGCCCGGCTGGGGATTGCCACTCCAGGTCTTCCCGCACATGCTGCACTGAAGCCCGAAGGGTGAGAAGTGACGTCACCTTGGAGAACATGGTAGGTGAGCTCAGGCTGCATTCTGCCCCTGAAAGAGCCGCGTCAGCTTTGTGGCGCCTGCTGCAATTTCACATACACCTAAGACTGCGCCGTGGACCTCCTTCTCTGCCGTCAGAAGGAAACCCTCGAGCGTAGAGTGTGAGAAACCGGAGTGTCAGCAGCCCAGCCCCTTGGGACACTCTGAGTCGTCTTCAAAAGTCCTGAGATCTCGTTTCCAACATGAGAAATGGCAATGTTTAGGGTGCTGGACTAACAGATTCAAGCTCTACAAGGCACACCCCAGAGATGCCACTGGAAATCACAGCAGTTCCTTTACTGGCACTATTGGATACTCCACCCCGCTGTCAACGCCCAGGCGCCTCCCAGCCCCGACCACCAGCACGTGGTTCAGAGAAGCCGAACCCGTGTCTTCCCTCCAGCTCATGCGTGCTGACTGAGGCCCGGCGGATCAGCGAGCGGCGCGCCCATGGCTCCCGGGGCGTAGCCTGGCCTCCCGGCATCATGGCGACCCTTCCAAGTGGCCCACAGGGCTGGTGTGCCACCCACACAGTTGACAGCTCCCGGAGGGTCATCAACCACCAAGACGTCTTCTCTACAGGCGCCAGTGAAGATGCGGAATACCTTGCCGCACGACGACCTCACACACGTAGCAAGCGTTTGCTAGAAGCTTCCTCATCCTCATCATCTGCACATCAGAGCTTTTGTCCAACTGCCAGACCAAAAGCTTTGGGAGCAAGTGCACATTGTTTGATAAAGGGATTTAGCTGAGAGCGCATCCACTTTTTCCTCTGACTAAAAAAATATTTATCACTTTTTTTTCTTTAATAGACTCCTTTTTAAAAATTTTTTTTAATGTTTTAGGGGCGCCTGGGTGGCTCAGTTGGTTGAGCGTCTGACTTCGGCTCGGGTCGGGATCTCACTGTTCGTGGGTTCGACCCCCACATCAGGCTCTGTGCTGACAGCCCAGAGCTTGGAGCCTGTGTCTCCCTCTCTCTCTGACCCTCCCCCACTTATGCTTTGTCTTTCTTTCTCAAAAATAAATAAATATTAAAAAACTTAAAAATTTTTTATGTTTATTTTTACTTATTTATCTTTTTTTGAGAGAGAGACAGAGACAGAGCACGAGCAGGGGAAGGATAGAGAGAGAGACTGACATAGAATCGGAAGCAGCTCCAGGCTCTGAGCTGTCAGCACAGAGCCTGACGCGGGGCTCAAACCCACGAACCGCGAGATCATGACCTGAGCGGAAGTCTGATGCTTAACCAACTGAGCCCCCCAGGCACCTGACTCTTTTTTTTTTTTTTTTTTTTTTTTAAGGGCAGTCTTAGGCTTATAGAAAAATGGAGCGGGAAGTACAAGAATCTGTTAGCCCCACCCCCACCTCCACACACAGTTTCCCTTAGTAGCATTTCGGGTAAGTTTGGTACATTTGTTACCCTTGGCGAGCCCATCTTGACACAGTGTTATTATTAACTGAAG